ACCCTGACGAATGGGAAAGCGAGGCTGGCATGGTTGCGCGTGGGCAGTATTTTCTCCACTGGCTGGCGCGACGGAGAGAAAAGCACGTGGTGGTATGCAGTCATGGCTGTTTCTTAATGACCATGTTCGAGAAAGTTCTAGAAGCACCCCGCGACATGCGGGAGTGGTGGGGAAACGCCGAATACCGACGCGTGGCTGTCCTGTTTCCTTGATAGGCTGAAAAGAGCAAGAGAGAGTGGCGAGGGGGACGATGGAAGGGGCCGTCATTCGTGCATGTTTAAGGATGGAGGGAGGGGTGCCGGGAACGAACACATGCATGGAAGGCACGAGTGACTGCTTCCCTCCCTGAGGGAAAAATCGCGTCCTCTTGACATGGCTAAGGTTAAAGGAAGACATTAACAAGGGCTCCCCCCAAAAAAAATGCCGCAACGTGAGCCGTGCACTTGTGCACTATCTTCTTTTTTCCTTTCGTTGGATACAGTATGTTTAGTCGGCAGACAACATCACATCAACTTTGGTCTCATTCCAGACTCTATGCGGCATCCAACCTGTCTGTGTGTCACGCTCTAGAGCCGCGCCTTTTTATGGACACATTTAAGATTTTACGACGGCTAAAATGTAATGCACAGGCACAAAAGGATTAATAGAAAATTTTGAAAACGCCACATGATGAAGCTCTTATCTTTATTACCTTTTTTTTGCGAGCGCAATGATCGCTGAAGCAACCTATTTTCTGACTTGATGGTGATTGATGTGAAGATATAATGACGCGAGAAGTTGGAACTCACAAGACAACAACACATAGCAAAGGCGATGGCAAGAACGCCAGCACTCTCCTTGCATCGAATATTCACTACGAAATGCAAGCATGTTCTATGGAAAGCTAGGACTGCACTGTTTACACGGCTGGGGGGTGACTCTTTCTGTAAATTGTAGAAGTGTTATTCCTCTCGTGAAAGCCAGAGCGATAATTTCTTCTGCAAGAAGAGCGACACTGCCCCCACCAAAACCCAGCGGGAAAAACCACACCCGCTCACCGGATTCTTGTCCCATCCCCTCATGCGCGGGTCTATTTCACACGTGTGTGGCTGGGGTACGCCTTGGGTTTCACTGTGCGTGTTTTGGGGGTCGGCGGGGCAGGGAATGGGTTGACCGGGGATTTTCTCTTGTCCTTGCCAGGGAGACTGAGTCAACTTGACCGAGCGCCCACCCGCCCTTAATATTCCCGTTCATGCTGCTTCCGCCCCGGTGGTTGCTGTCTTTTCCTCGAGCGGGACACCCTTAAGATGAAGCGGAACGGATCGTGTCGAGGTGGTCGAGATGGTTTTCACATTCGTGACCTCCAGTTTCGGGCTGTAGCGTATGATAACGTGCTCAACAATCATGTCTCCCGTACGTGTCTACATACTGTGACAGGAACATCGCGTCAAAAGACACCAAGACAAGAAATGATGACGCGGGTAGGCAGCATTTTAATAGCTACCCTGGGTATTACGTTGTCGTGCACAGGTAAGCGTGAAAGTGCAGGTGACGGAGGGCGTTCTGTGAGAGGATGCCCGACCTGACACAGAAGTGTCATAATTTTGCCGCTCCTTTTTTCTCTCGCACAGTGTTTCCAAGACCAAGCCTGGCATTTGTCCCGCCCACACCGGTCCTTTCGTTTCCCGCCAGTACCAGCAGCAGCGGTGGGGCGAGTGCGAGCAGTATCGTAGTCAGCAGCAACAGTTTCGGGACCGAAAGTCTTTCATTTTCCACGCCCGTCACAGGTACGTAATTCGAAGGACGCACTTTCTGCCGCATGCGTGACTTGCACATTGCCTGGCCACGTTGGATGTGGCACGCATGGACACGAGAATCTGTTCATACATACCCATCACCTCTTCTCCCTCCCGTCCCTCTTTCCCTCCTTCCCTCTCTCCCCCCCCCCGCATCAACATATGAAA